GAGAGAGAGAGAGAGAAATTCGTATCTGAATTCGACGAAATATGGGCTGTCTCGTCACGAGAAAGATACGATTCAAAATTAAAGCAGAAGGTCGGCCAAAGGTCGAACGAATGTTGTGCAATCGAAGGACATATAAATCTTTCACGTATTATGCTTTCTTTGAGGAGGATTACCCGCGCAGCTTGTTTCTTCTCCCGGTATTTGGCCGAGAGATTCCTTTCTAAATGTTTGCAGAACAAGTTGCAGAGGAGGGGAGCCGTTTGTAAAACGCGCGGATCGTGTATTAGAACGTGTTGATAAAAAGACAGGAGCATCGATGTTTGCACTTTACCTCGCGTGTACGTGTCTTATATGTGTCATTCTACAGCGTTATTTCGGCGATATTAATGGCCTGTCCTCCTCCACGCCTCTCGATCCCCCTCTTTTACGCAGTTATTTTATGGTACAACAACAATTCTCGAGAGATGTAACTCGTTCGTCTTGCGTGAAAATTCGTATCGCGAAGATGACTCGTTTATTAGAGATAAATTAAACGTCTCGTTGAATTATTTTCGCGATATAATTCGTTCGAGCGAAATTTTTGGGATTGATTTTCTCGGCTCGTCCAAAAATTCAAATATCCGCGTAAATTGAGCATAAGAGGTTTTCAAAATTCTTTTCTTTAATCGTCAAAGAATCGTCCGTAGAACAACGAAAATAAACCTCGCCCAACACCGTGTTTGTTTCTCAGAGCTACCGTGCACTATGTGTAAACGATACTCTGGGCATGGATCCGACGCCTCGAGCGCCCCGATTTAATACTCTGCAAATATTTGGTGCAAACATTTGTCTCGAGAAAGTTGCGTCTCGTTTCTTCCATCCGCAATCTTCGTCTCCATTCCGAATCCTCTCCACGAATTTTCAACCTTCGTCTCAAATCGTACGTTTCTTTCGAAATTTTTTCTTCTTCAAATAAATTTTACCTCGATTCGAGTCAAGATAGTTTGACGTTTTAAATTAAAATTAAATTTTTCAAGAGTCAAGATTTGCTTGACAAAACTTTTTACATTTAATAAAAGAGATCGAATAAAATCCCGAGGATATTCGAAGAAAAAGAATTCGTCTATTTTTTTTTTTCTTTTACTGATAAGCTTAACAAAGATGATTTAATCATTGTTTCCTTCACTGTACATACATGTGTACACATATGTATATATCCACAGACCGATGGTGCGAAAAGGCTTGCAAAACGGACCACGAGAAAGAGAGAGGCGAAAAATTAAGGAAAAGAAATTTCTCGATCGAATCCTATCCTCTTCGAATCCAAGAATCCGAGAAAAACACGAGAAAATGGCGAACCATGGGTATCCCCATGGATGACCGGTATTTTAATTCTCTCTCTCTCTCGAGAGAGAGAGAGAGAAAAAAAGAAGCAAGAAAACACCCTCCCCCTCCCCCTCGGCTGTCGGCTAACGCACGAACGCCCGTGAAACGCGTAATATACAACTTCCTTAAAAGGCAGTTCGTAATAGGTATTCCCCGGAAAGTACAACAGTCATTATAAATTCACGTTTACGAATCGGTGGAACGAGTCGGGCCTCTTCTGGGGGACCCCGGATCGGGAACAAGCGGCACTTTACACTTCGCGACACTCCCCAAGCCGTTAATTCGTTACTTTACTTTACCCTTTACGGCGGGTAGTCACGATCCCCCCCTCTCTCCCAATCTCCTGTAATTTATAATAACCGATATCGCGAACGGTTCGCCATTCGTATTTCGAGAAACGAGGCAAACGCTCTCGCTTATCTATATACCTGTGTTGTCGCGCATATATACCTGTGTCTCGCTCTTTTTCCTCACTGCTTCGATTCTTTCTCTCTTTCTCTCTCTCGTCACGGGTAGATTACTTACTACTACTACACTACTACTACTATCTACCACTACTACCGCTATTGCTGTTGCTTCGGCTTTTTCTTGCGAAATTTTTTTCCCTCTCTTCCCGTGCGAGCGACATGGCAGAGTAGATGGATACAAATATGCATGTGTGTAGACGTATATACACACAGAGGAGAATTGTTTGCTCTTCTTTTTTCAATCTTTGAAGAGGAAAATTGAAAGTGGATCGCGACGAGGAATTTTATGTTGGAAATATTATATGTATGTATGTGTACGTGTGTAAGTAATTTTAAAAGTTTTCTCAGTTTAGAAGTTTATACGATGATGTTATATGTAATAAGAGCAACGAATATTTCTGCGAAAATTACCCTTTTTTACGAAGAGAAAAGTAAAAATTTTAATTTGATTTTCTATACGTTTTTTTTTTCGCGAAAATGTATTTTTCCACACCTCGAAGTAGTCTGTCTAATCAGAAAAGAAATTATTTGTCGTTCGTACTCACCTCCTCGTGGACGAAACCCGGCGGCCCAGCCGTGCACCAGTAATCTGAAACAAAAAAACAAACATTTTTATTCTCGATCCCTTTCAAATTTCCATTATTTTCGTCCGAAATTCGGTTTAACCTCAAACTCGAGCTTCGTTGATCGCGTCTACGTTTCGACGAATCGGACGACAAATTTTTTCTTTCTAAAAAAAAAATTTTTCGAATGTTTCTGTTTGTTGTTTACACAAGAAAAAAGTTTGGAGAAATTTCAAAGTCTCAATCGCTCTTCTCTTTTCGAGGAGAACGAAGATTTCGAGATTCCACGCTTGAACGACGATTTTTACCTCTTCGCAACAAAAGGGTTGAATCGACGAGATCTCCATTATTTGGCGGAAAGAAGCGAACTCACTCAGCAAGGGAGAAGTGAAAGTAAAGTGAGAGATGGAGTTAAAAAAGGGTTGGGAGGAGAAAGCGGGGCAGTAAAAAAAAGAAAGGGTTTTCCTTTTTTTCCAAGGAATCCTTTCCATCCTTGTCTCTCGCCGCCCGCCCAGGGATCCTCTCTTCTTCTCTTCGTAGAGGAAATGTCAATTTTTTACTTTCCCTCGCGGATCCTCTCCGCCGCCGCCTGCTCTCTTTCGGTTTCAGTTCATCGTGAATCTTCGGTTGGACGCGAGCTTTAACTCGTTTTCTATTCGTCACCCGTAAAATGAGATCCGTATTCAATTCGTTTATTCGTCGAAGTAGCGAGAACACGTCGATTCTCTCCTCGATTCGTTCAAACGTTGTTAAAACGCCACGCGTTATAAACGACTACATTTATAGGTTAGTTTTCGCATCGTGCTTTCTCGTCATTCGTCTCGATGAATATTAAGATGAATTGGAATAAGTGTTGTGATGGATGATTTTGTGTGTGGCTGACTTCAAGAACAAAGTATTCGAAAAGCTTGGATAAAACGTGTATGTGAAAAATTTGTGAAAGTGTCGATGTGCAGTATTTAAAAATAGTAGACAATCGTCGATGGAAACAATTTATTTCGTTTATTTCTCCGAGAGACAAGGAAAAGTAATCATAAATAGTGAATACGGCAGTCTTTGGTAATAAAATTCTTTTTCTCGATCTTCTTATTACAATATATTCGAGCTCAATATCAAAAATCGCGTCGTTCTATGAAACTTCGAGCGAGCCGTCGGCCCTCGACGCCTTCCATTCGAGCAAATCAATCTGTATCCCAAAAATCGAGGAGAACAAAGTTTTTTCGCATTAACGGATTGTTATTCATCGACCACCATGGTCCATTCTGTTGCTAATTGAAGAATATCTTAAATGATAAAAGTTCTTTTTATATATAATACAAATCAATAAGCGTTTCCTCAAATCTTTTTATCTACTCGAGAGTGGAACAATTGCCAAGTTGCTTTAAATTATTTATTAACATATTCATTGTGATTAATGTAATTTATATTATTAATATCAATTATATAATAAATCAATATTTTAAATTACATTCATTTCTAAAAAAAACTAGATATCAATAAATTTAACATTTAATTTCCAAATTTATATTTATAATTTCTTTTTTTAAATAATTTAAATCAACCTGATCACAGAAGCTACAAATTTATATTCTACTTCTTTTTATTTAATCTCATATTTCATTCCCAACAATTATTGGCTACATCACGCTACATTTTACGCGAGAATTCGAACGAGAGTCGAATCCATCGGCCGAATCTCGAAAAACAGGAACCAAGGAATGATTCTTCTCTCGACGAAGCTGCGAAACAACAATACCCGTTTCAAAAACAAATTGAACAACGTGCCTCGTCCCCTCCCCTGTATCGTAATTTATTTAACTCGTCTCACCCGTATCATATCGCGCCCCCTAGGCTGACCACCGTCGCCATCTGTGGACGGCCGATCGACACCGTTAAAACGCTTCATGCAAACCCGTAACCTCAGGTTTCTCGATCGCGCGAAAACGAGGCCGTTACCTTGCCTCGTAATTAACCTCGCCTGCCTTTACTCGTACTCGTATCGAGAGAATGGGTGGTGCGTGCAAGCGCTTTAATCGCGCTTGTCCGACCGGATCCCTTTTCCAGGGATCCTCTCTGTTGAGTATTGATCCGCGAAGCAAGAGAGGCGAAGCCTTTACGGCCAGGGGATTAAATAGGAGAGTTTAAATCGCGATTCGAGAGGGAAGGAGGGGGAGGGATCGTGGAAGAAGAGGAAGTTGTTTTTTGGATGGAATTAGAGAGGAGCAAGGGTTTAAGAGAGTCGTATCCTTGTTTACGCGCACACCCCGTACAATGAGATAATTTTCTTCAACGTGTAATTACGCGATGCGAGGCAAATTTAATGGGATTTAAGAGGGAAGGTTATTTTAGAATTTTTTTCGGAACACGCGATTTTATCGTTATTGTACAAGTGTTACTAGGCGTCCTCGTAATCTTATTTTCATTTCGATAATTGGTTAATTTTAACGCCCCGTTGAATTTTAACGAGGTTTAAAGAAGAAACAGCGAGCGTTATTCCTTTGTATACAATTTATGTTATGCAGAGTGAGGATAACGTTTAGTTTTCATGAATATTATTCGCGTAAATAACGATGCTTAATAGGCATTATTTTACCATTTTTAATAGCTCAATTATACGAACGATAATAACAGATCGAAATGATTAAGTTTTCATCGCTCGATGATTCCTCTTCCTGTATAAAATTTCCTATCTCACCCACCCGTGTTGGAACAAACCCATCAATTCTTCTCTGGCTTCCAAAACCCAGTCAGTCAGAGAATTACAAACGGCTCGCACGTTTGTAACAAATGTTTCCCGCTTAACACGTTTCTCGCCCATCAACGAACATCTCGTTACATAGCGCAACACGCGATCATTAGCGAATCCTTTTCATCTTTGCCAAACAAGAGGAGGGGAGGGGAGGAGCGGGGATCCGCGTCAACGCCTAAATCCGTCTATACTCGTCCCGTGTGTACTGTTTACACACTTTCTCGTTGAACGATTTTCGTTCGAAGCGGCGACGCTTCTCTCGCGACGCACGTTCCGCCTCAGTTCTGCCGCCGCCATCGAGGCAGCTGCCATTTTCGATGCGCGCCATGCCTCGTGCACAGGTATCGCGAGATATATTTCTTTTTTTTTCTCCAGGGGAATCAAGTCGAGATCGTTTTTGGTTTTCACAGCGATTGTTCTTTATCTTTGTTTCTCGAAACGATGGTTTCTCTAAAATTTATCGAATTATATTATTCGTTAGGTTCTTTTTTAGATAATTTTGCGAATTTTTATTAGAATTGAATACTGTATAGATGTTGCTTCCCCCATTTTATGTACATATTCTCCAAAATTGAGATATAACTTTATGAATTTCCGTGATTATCTCTCTTTTTGGCATTACTCAGGACGAGATCGTTTCCCAAGTTGTGATGTATAAGAAAGCACGATTAAATTTCGGAATTGTTCGTTTCGATATTCACGTTTATATTTTATATGATCTTGTTGTAAATCTAATTATTACAGAAATAACGTTGTATTACAAGCACTTAACAGCTTCATTTTACAGATTCGCAAATATTATTCGTGTCCACCGTGCAAACGAAAGTTCGTGACGAGAGGCAAACACTTCTCGGCGCATGAAATTAATTAACCCGATAAATCATCCCCGGTCAACAACAACGATCAACAACGATAATGAGTTCGAAACTGCCCGATTATCGAGCTGCGTGCTTTATCTTGTTCCCTTCCTTCCTTCCATTAGGCTCGCCAATAAAACTCGTTAATTAGCATTGTCGTGAACGACACTTTAGGTAAGCGACATTTGGTGATAGTAATTTCTTTCTCGACGCTGTGTAGATGCGTCTTGGAATATTTTCCTTCACTCGTATCCATAATTGCTCGCCCTGCACTTTCCAAATAATTGGACAAATTTGTCTCCTTTTCACCGACGAACCTCAGAATTTCTTATATATATTGCTTATATATATGCTATGGAGAGCATATATTTCGTTGCAAATTTTGAGAATTATCTAAAGAAAATGGAGAAACGATAACTGTATGGTTAGACGAATTTTATCATTGAATAAGATGCAATTACAATTTATTTCTTACTTTTAATATTCGAGAGATTATCGATCGATATAATTGCGAGATAAATAACGCGAGAAACAAAATATTACATTTCCTTTTCAAGATTATTATTATATCTCGGATAATTTAAACGATTTCGTTCCACGAGCGTATACATACATAAAATTACGATAAATTAATTTCTACTTCTTTATGAAATTTATTTTGAAACCAATCGTTTGATATCGTTGTCCAAAGCGTATAAATATTAAATTTAAATTCGAAACGATAACGAGTCGACAAAATTAATAATTCAATTGTGAATATTTTCTCGTCGTTCCTCCATCCTCTCCAAATTTTTCCAACAACCGAGAGTCTATCCATCCATCCAGGAAAAAGTGGTTCTAGATAAACGAGAACAGCGGCGGCCGTCGCTCCGACGATTTATCGGCCGTTGTTCATCGTCCGAACGCGTAAGCCGCGCTTTCAAACCACTCGTATCCTTCCACGATCTTTCTTTCTTTCACTTTTTCGAAGAATTTACTCGAATTTTATTTCTTCGAAAATTTCTAAAATAAAAATTTTCCGTGTAATTTTTCAAGAACAATCTCACCGTCGTTGATGCTGAACTCCGCGCAACAATTCCAATCCAATAAAAATACATCGTTTTGAAAAAAATAAGCGAATACGCGCTCGATTTCTCGCGATTATAATATTTATTGCCGATTATTGAAAAAGGAACGAAACACGAGAATCTGCGATCTCGTTTCCAAGCAAACACGGTTGAAGCCACGATCAATAATCCCAGCAAGCACGCAGCTTCGTCTCCTCGCAGCTGAGGAGCGTCTCTCAGGTGACGTGAGAAATGCAAAAAGAGTGAAACACCTCTCTCGGCAAGCGAAGAAGCGATGGGATAAAGAAGAAGAAGCAGCGGCAGCATCGTAAATTCGACTCGGCTCCTCGGCCGTTAATCGAGAATCGATCCCAGAAGCGAATCTCTCTCTCTCTCTCAGAGATTTTATCCCGACCGAGCCTCTTATTTATGCAACCTCGATCGCCCTTTCGTTCCCAAACATCCTCCATGTTTGTTCACGAACAGAAGTCGATGCCCCCGACATCTATCGATCGGTGTCCGATTTACATTATTACTGGGCCGTACAGTTGAGAAAGAAGTGCCGTTTATTACACTTTTGACTTACCTCTCCACGAGTAAAATTCCGTCTATTAATTGTCTCGTGATCTGTGAAAATTCTGTTTCACTTATAGAAAAGAAAAAAAGGAAAAAACAGATTTAGAAATGGAAAAGGCGGGCACGAGAATAAACGGAGATAAAATGTTGCAAGGATTGGGCGCGGACGACGTGTCATAATATCGGCGGTAGTCTATAAACGTGCACGTTTTATAGGATAATGGCCGATAAGGGGATATTACCCCGCGTATCGTCGTAAATAATTTATTCGGATCCGCGAAATCGCGGAAACGGTGTTGCTGGGTGTAAAAAGTAGTTGTCCTGCAGGGGGGGAAGGGAGGGGCGGAGTGGAAGTGGACGGAAACGATTCCGCTGGAAAGTTTGGAAAGAGGAGGATCTGTGTTGGAGGAGACGATCGAGAGTGAAATATTAAAATTTCCGGGAGGGAAAAAGTTTTTAGGAGGGACGCGTTAAATATCGGCGGCGAGTGGTCAATTTATATTCCGAAAGTTTGATGTCAAGTTAGGTTAAAAATACGGGATTAAAAATTAAGAGGTGAAAAAATTGCATCGAGCTGAAATTTTTTTTTTCCAAGAGAAATTTGATTTTAAATAAATAATTTCTTTAACGATCTCGCTTTCTCGTCCCTTCCTCCTCTTCACCGGACACAGCTGGCAGCAAAGATCGAAGCTGAAAATCGGCCATGTTTAGCCTTTTAGAAAGAGAGAGAGAAGGATGTTCTCATAGATGGAAGGGATGAGAGAAGCAGGGTGGCTGGAACTAGGTTTGGGGTGGGGTGGGGTTCGAAGCCACCCCTCGAATAATCCGACGTATAAATTGGATTGTCCGTGGAACGTGGAAAGTGAACGGTGGTGTAGTGGTTCGGTTGAGGCGAGAGGAAGATGAGGTGCGAGAGGGCGGGGGGAGGACTCGTTGCAAACGGAGGAGGAAACAAAGAACGCGGTGGGATGAGAGAAAGTGCGGAATTTGGTGGAAGAAGTAAGAAAGAGAAGGATGCGAGAAGGCAAGAGAGAGAGAAAGAGAGAGAGAGAGAGATTTATTATAAAGAGAAGGAAAAAGAAGAAAAACAAGAGAGCGGCAAGCACGAAGAAGAGAGGGAGGAACGAAAGGGAAGAAAGGAAAGAGAGGTTGATTGCAATTATAGAGAAGAGAAGAAGGAACACGTACGTACAGTCTGACTGTCACTTTGGCCTCGCACAACTACGAAAACTCGTTTCCCAACGTGCACACGGATAGTGGAATACACACAGATTATGACGCCAACCACGGAGACGGCCATTCATACGCCACCCCCGCCTCCACCCTCTGTGATTTCGTCGTGGATCTCCCATCGCGCCGATTGCGGGGGTGGAAATGGTAGGTGGATTATGCTCGTCCGCGGCTGAACTCGCGTGCAATGCAATTATGCTCGCGTTATCGTGCCACCACTCTACGATATCGGGCCAATTTCACTGTGGTGACCCGTTTCAAACTCGTTCCACGCCGCCAACTCTTCTGTATTGGATTGCGGGGGTGGTACGAGATTTTACGCTGCAATGGCGTCAAATACGGTATACATTGGAAATGTATAGTGTATAGAAGATATAGACGATTCTTGTGAATTCGATTTGTGTTTGTGACCGAAGAATAATTTTTCACAAATTAGTATGATTTGTTAAGTGAATCGTAGTGAAACTTTCCGATAACCTTAAAAAAGTAACTCGTGAATATTTAAAAAATTATTTTTATCTTTCTCCTTTATGTTTAAAATAATATTTCGAAAAGATTATAATCGGTAAAGATATTACGGTTAAATGGTTCTATACTATTCTACGAGAGATCACGACACACAACGAGCGAAAAGGAGAAAATGGGATTCATCATCTAAATGTAACGGATTAATTCGGGAAATGATCTCAGGACCGGATCTATATCCGACGAATTGGAAAGGTTCGGAACCACCACTGCTATATCTTGTTATTTCGAGAAAAACGAGCGATACGTGACCACCGGAGAAGAGGAAACACATCGCCAAATAGATCGAGATGATTGTTTAGAAGGTAACGTTACGCTTCTTTGCGTGGATATTAGATCCTGATTCGTCCAGGCTAATATAACTTTGTATAGAGTGTTTGCCCATTCTCTTCTCTAATACAGGAGACAAATGGATAGATGGCGCTTCTTTCGTATTTGATACTTTCTTATTTCTCCTGGGAGCGATGTGTGCCTATTGTTTCGATTGAAAACATTCTATCGAGGGATAGATTTTGTTTATTAAGGATTTTGGGGGTTGGATGTTGATTAAAAAAGGGTGGATTGTCGTGTGAGATTGATATTGGTATCGTGACTTTCGTTTCTATCAATTATGGCATATTGGAAGGATAGCGAGATGTGTTTGGCGTAGATTGAGGTTATATTAGCAGGTATAAATTGATATATCTATTGGTAGATTTGTGATCAAAAATACGTTATTATAACAAAATATTCAAAACAATTTTAATCGTTACGTTATACCAAGATATTAAGAAAAATCCATTTTACGTGAATTTTATCTTTTTTGAATTTTTTTTCTAGCAACGAAAATAACGTTATATATAATATGAGATACAATGAATGAGTTAAAAATGATTATTTAATAATCTCAAATCTCACTTCTAGGTAGGTAAATTTCTAATATTTATTAAAAAATATCATAAAAATTCTAAAATCCACATAAAAATTACTTTGCAGCGTAACGTTCAATTAACCTCGAAAGAATTGAAGTTCTGTATACACGAAACGAGTGTGCCCTTTTTAAAATCAACAAAATTAGACCGTTTATCCCAATTTTTTTCTCTTTCTTCTCGTTCAATCTCCTTTTAAATTCTCACTCGCCTTCTCTACAGTCTCGTCACGATCCTCGCGAACGTAAAACATCTGGCCGGCCGCGTAACGGCTGAAAATAGCCCTGTGAATCTAATAAGCATCGTGGCGTGGTCCTGCGGACGCCTCCGCGTTTCGAATCACCGCGGAAACTTTGATTACGCCCCGAGAATCTTATCGTGCTCGCCTTAACCGCCATAAATTCATCGGAAGTGGCACTATTCCACCCGTAAAAGAATGCCTTTCTTGTTCCTGCCTCGATCGAATTACGCGGTGGCATTTTCGACTCGGTTCGACTTGTTCTATACTGTATACATGGTCGATCGGTGACTGCAACAAAAGAACCATAAGTCTTCTTCAAGACAATAATTTGTTACTTTTTTATTTGTTTTTGACGGTATGTTGAATTTCTTTACTACTTTTGTTACTTTAACTCTTGATCGTTATTTTTCAAATATTTCAAACATTCTATAACTTTGCTCTTTATAATAATTATAATGAATGTAACTACTATGAAATCAGTATTTTGCTTTCAATAAGTACAATTTCCTGTATTTCGTTAGAGAGATTCAATATAAAGTAATTCAATTTCATCATAGAGGTTTGATAAAATTTTCGGTAACAATATTCCGGTTCAACTTCCCAAATCACCTCGTCCCGTATAATATTAACTTCAAACTTTCGATCCACAGTGTAGTAGACATATATGCACACGGCTCAACCATTCCTTGAACATGCTACCTCGCCAACTACTACGTTGTTTATTCACGAGAAAACGCATTCCCTCCATCTTGTATCAACCCTCCTTTCCCACGTTGGCTCACCGTGTGTCACCTGAGACTCTTTTTCCCTTCCTTTTTCTACTTTTCTCTCTCTCCTCCAATACAACTCTTCAGAGGGAAATATTGTATACAGTATATACCACGTCGAACCACTTCGACTTTTATAAAATATAAGCAATTTCATACTTCTCGACCTCTACTCGCTTTTACGACGAGCCACCTCGGATTTCGTCAGGTATTCCTTCGCCATAACGAAAATCGGCCCGTCTTCGAACAATTTCCGGTGGCTCGAAATAAGTAGCCTCTTTATGCACCGAAGTTTATTAGCGGCAGGAAGGGTCCTCGTTGCGGCACGTTAGTTATTACATGCCGGTGGCGTTTAATTATTCGAATCGTCGTTGCGCTGATAATATCGTAAAAATATCTCGCCACCGCGTGGCATTACCGTTTCTCATAATTTTCATTGCAGCCTCGGTTGGAAGTGACTGAAATCGGTTGTTGGACAAGAATGTTGGAAGAGTGTTGTTATATTACGCAGTTTACCCATTTTTGTGCAATTATAATTTGTACCCTGTGATACGTGGTAAGTTTTGTTTTCAAAAAAAGCGTTCATTTTAATTAATATTTATTTATTTATTTATTTTTCATTCAAAGGAACCACAATCAACAGTGTCAAACGTGCACATTCACGCACAATTTAAATCATGATACAGTATAACATTGTAACTGTAAGAAAGGTATTATCCTGGAAACACAATGATGTTAACTATCTTCAAACAAATCTCTATCAAACCAAGTCAATCACGCTTTAAAATCTACAAAGATCTCAACGCAGCATGATATTGTAACTAACCAAAGAGATCACTTTGAGGAAATATTGAAGTTAATCAACGTTTTCTCCCACTTCAAACAAACTTCAACTTCAAGAGACCATCAAATACATTCCCATAATTTACATTTATGAAAATCACAACACGTCTATGATACTATAACTAATAATGGCCACTTTAGAAGACACATGCATAAAAGTTTATCCATGCTATCTTCCAATTCAAACAGACTTCAACTTCGTTCAAGAGGCCTATCAAACGCGTGAGTATATCCACATAATTTACCTCTATGAAAATCACAGCACATTTAAGCCTAATTTAGCCGAGAGATGTCACCTCGAATGTACATAGAAGAGGTTAACTAACGCTCTCCTCTATTTTCAAAGGGTCAACCAACGACGTCAAATCCGTGCAACTCCATCTTCGCCAGGCGGAGGAAACTTCGTTAACCATGTGATTCGACCGCCACTTCAAAATCGTCTAGAACTAACAATTTACGAGCGGCGCGTGCATACGATGCTGATAAACGCGACTCCCTTTAACGACCCATTCCTAGTCCACCCTGATGTGGACCTCATCGCCTTCTCCTTCCCACTTTCTTTCTCCCCCCCCCCTCTCCCCCCATCTTTATGCAGATGGCGGAGACCGCGGTTAATTTCGAACCTCCTGGATGGCCTCGTTCATTCTAATTTCCCCTCGAACGTCCCTGATTGGAGTCCACAACGTGAATCGCACCTGTATACTCGCACGAGGAATAATATCTGCTCACAAAAAAATTTTTATTTTTTCCGGCTATTGTTGGCGATATTATATATTCTTCCTGCTCGATGGAAAGAATTCCACGGTTCGATTGTTATTGTTATTGAAAGAAGATGATGTATACGCGTTTCTTGGAATAAGAAAATGTGATACGGAATTTATTATTCCAGGAAAATGGCACGTGTCGTGTTTGAAAACATCCTGTTTCGCATGTATATAAGTGGAACTATAAATTTGAAGTTTTGTTTATGGGGATACGTTCACTCTTGTACGTGTACGCTTTCTTGTAAGATGTAATGCAAGAAGATATATGTTATATTATATATTGTGTGAAAACTTGGATAGATTGTTCTACGACGTTGTATTTGTCGTTTTTAAAATGGCAATGGAAGATATATTCCACAGTTGAATATTTTTAGATGGGATGGATGGAAAGTCTTGATAGTTTTCTATTACACGTATTGTTGGTGAATGATATAATATAATAATGTACAATATATCTAAAAAAGAAATTTATTAATTGCAATAATATTTAAACTATATAATTTATATAATTTTCAAACATATTGTATTTAACGTAACTTTTTTTCAGGTGCAGAAAATTTCTAGCATTTAACCCAGGACGTGCAAAGAGAGAAAAAAAAACTCAATTTCACCGACAAGAGAAAAGCATTAAAATAGAAGCGTTATTCCCGAGAAAATTGGCATTCCCAGTGACTTAACTCGCTTAATTTTCTCCTCAGGATCCAAAGAGTTACTATTTTTTCCGCCGCACCTGCATCGGTGCTTTCCAAAAGGGAAAAAAAGAAAAAAAAAACCGTTTGTCGAAGGGGAACGACACGTAGAGTAAGTAAACGAGAAAAGCGAATCTCGATTTTCCTTCGAAGATGTAGGTGGAGTCAAGAGAGAGTAGATTATCTTGCCAGACGGCGAAATGGTAAAGTTCTACGTGTCGGAGGGCAAAGACGAAGCTGGGGAATACTATCTGTGAGAGGAAAAAAGAGAGAAAGAGAACCGGAGGAAGGAGAAAGAAATCCAACTATCTTGAAAGGAGAATAGAAAAAGATGGAAAGGAGAAAGGCAACTAATGAAAGAAGAGAGAAATAGAAGGAAATAAGGAGAAAGAAGCTTTGACTTTTTTGAATGGAAAGAAGGGAAAAGAAAGCTGTTCTATTTTAAAAGTAAAAAAAAAAAGAAAAGAGACGAGGAGAGAAAAGGTAGAAAAAGAGAGAGAAGTTACGCCTTGGTTTGGGGGGAAGCTGCAGACACAGCTGTGCCAGAACTGCAATGACACGCCCCCTCACCCCAATCTCTCCTCCTCTATCGCTTCGTCTCTCTTCTTCCACCCTCGAGACGACGAGCAGGGGTAGGTTCTCTCTCGACGTGCTCTGGCTAGCGAGCCCGAGGTCGATTCGAATTCTCGCCAAGAGTTCTCTCTCTGATAGTGAGGGAGGTATACACGCGTATATACGTTATTGAGTGAGTATTTTTGAACTTGGTAAAATGGGATTTTAGAAAAATTTAGGTTTTTGTCGAGTTGTTTGGAGTAATTAGTTAATTTATATTATTTGGATTAAAAATTTATTTAGATTCTTAAGTAAATCCAACAACAAATTTTTCAACAGTGTTCCAGTGTTTCTTATTCTTATATTCTTGTTCAATTACTATTACCATTACCTTTCTTACTTCAACTATATTTCATATGTAGCTATACATATTGTTTCAGTAATATTTTCTATTTCTTTCAACAAAGTGAAGGAATATTAT